ATCATGTACTCAAAGACCACTATTGGTGGCATGGAACGAAGAGAGAAATAGCTGAGTTTGTATCTAGATATCTCATTTGCCAGCAAGTGACACCAGATCGTCAGAAAATAGCAGGATTGTTACAAACGTTGCCTATTCCTGAGTGGAAATGGGAACACATTACTATGGATTTTCTATTTGGACTTCCACGGACTTAGAGTGGACATGATGTCATATGGATCATTGTAGACAAGTTAACGAAGATTGCTAGATTTTTGCCTATTAAAGTCACATACTCGTTAGATATATTAGCAAAAATATATGTTGATGAGATAATCAGTTTGTATGGGACACAAGTATCTATTTTTTTAGATAGAGATTCTCGTTTCACTTCTAAATTTTGGCCTCAACTTGCAGAAAGCTATGGGTACTAAACTTTATTTTAGTATAGCTTTTCATCCACAGACATATGGTCAGTAAAAAAGAACTATTCAGACTTTGGAAGACATGTTACGATCTTGTGTATTACAGTTTAAAGGGAATTGAGATACTCATATTCCTTTGATGGAGTTTGCTTATGATAAATGTTATCATTCGAGTATAGAAATGGCTCCTTTTGAAGCAGTGTATGGTAGGAAATGCATAACTCCAGTATGTTGGGATGAAGTTGGCGAAAGAAAGTTATTGGGTCCTGAATATGTCTAGATTACTACTGAGAAAGTAAAGATAATTAAAGAAAAGTTAAAAACAGCCCAAGATAGACAAAAGAACTATGCAGATAGATGCAGAAGAAACCTTGAATTTGATATTGGGGATAGAGTTTTCCTGCGATTGTCGTCATGGAAAGGTGTTATCAGATTTGGTAAACGAGGTAAATTGGGTCCAAGGTGTATTGGCCCATATGAGATTGTTGAATGCATCGGTCCAATTGTGTATCGAATGGCTTTGCCAACAGAATTGTCTAGAATTCCCAATGTATTCCATGTTCCGTTGCTTCGTAAGTATATTCCAGATCCGTCTCATGTTTTGGGATCACAACCAGTAGAGCTGAAAGAAAATCTCACCTATGAAGAGGAACCAGCTCAGATATTGGACAGAAAGGAACCGATTTTGCATAGTAAGACTATTCCCTTGGTTAAAGTTTTGTGGAGAAATCATGCCGTAGAAGAAACGACATGGGAAAGTGAAGAGCAGATGCATTTTCAATGTCCATGACTTTTTCATACTTGATCAATCTAATTTCGAGGACGAAATTCTTTTAAGGGGGTGTGTTTTGTAATACATTAAGTTAAAAAAAGAAAAAAGAAAAGTCAAACATAAAAAAAATAGAAAAATAAAATACACATGAGGCGATGGAATATCCAATTCAATTCCACCCAAAACCAATTTAAAAACATAAACACACACTACACTCACAAAGAAAACGAACCAGAGAGAAAGAAGAAGAGAGAAAAGAAAAAAGAAAAAAAGGAAAAAGAGGAAGAAAAAGAAGGAAAAAAAGGAAAGTTCGCCAACGTGTTAGAAATTAAGTGGGTTATACTATTAGGCTTAGATTCCTCAATTTTGAAAACTAAATAAAAAGTTACTTATTGAAAGGTTTTGTTTAATTTTATAGTTGTTAGATTATTAGATTAA